TGATAACAATAATAAGGATGATAATAATGATGTCACCCATATATATGTGTGTGTGTGTGACATAGGATACTGTTCTGTAGTATCCTATCTTACCAAATTGATGATCACAGAGACCAGTGCCAGGGTACGAGTTCATCCATGAATATACAATACTGCCGTGACTGTGGCATGAAGACAAGTGTTATGACCCCTTTATTTATTTGTTTCACTTTCCTCCCTTCCTATCTCTGCAAAACAGCTTGCTCTCAGTAACGATAGGAATAGACAGCAGCCTTAACACAACTTCGTTTCTTTTGGTCGACTGTTTCGTGGTTTCATCAACAAGTCTGCAACTTATAGGACATAGGAGTTTTCTTAAGTGTGACTGATTCAACCTCTGAAGTTGTCTTTTTTTTCTCTGCTTACAGCTCTTCATATAATTTCTGCCAATATTTTATATTCTTTTATCTAGTTTACACATTCGAATATTCACATTACAGACACTTAAAGTTATTTTTGGCGTTTAGACTAATCAGTAATTCAGACTTTCATTCATTTAACCGCTTTTCAAGCATGTAAAAACTGTCGTAATGAGGATTTTTTATTTAAGCAAGAGTTCTGTGGTAAGTTATTCTTTCATTGGCGTAGAAACTTTCTAAGAGGAAAATGCTTGTAGATTGGTGCCTATACGTGTTCCTATCAAGGCCAAAATGCGTTGATGGTGATAATCAATTGAAAAAGAACGATGTTATTTGGACATGTCAGTCATCACCAATATCTCAAGTGCGTATTCGCCTAGTTGGAAAAACGGTTTATAGGCATTTATGTCTTTTAAGACATAATTATACATGAACACAGGCACTTTCCTAGATATATGCCATAGCTGTATCTATGTTTGTGCGCGTGCACGTGTATGTGTGCGTGTGTGACAATTCGTATTACTGGTAATGAAATTATCCGATGTTTCTAAAAGTATAAAACTTTCTCTCCCTTTTTGCTTCAAAGTCAGGATCGAAAATGTTTTTGGGTAATTTTGTTGTTGAATAAAAATTATCCTTAAATTGTTCACGTCACTCATCAATCAGTTTTTCGGTTTTCACTTTATTTTTGCTTCCCTTATTATGTAATTCTGTCTATTTCTTTTCGCACCTTATATGTATAGATTTCTCCTCTTTCTCCTGTCTCCTTTTTTCTCTTTTACTGTTTACTTCTTTTCTCTCTTATTTCGTACCACTATCTTTCTCTGCCTGTTCTATTCTTTTGTACTATCTCATCCTCATTTTCCTTTCATAATATCATTTATCAGTTTTTTTTTATATAGCCACTATTGTTACAGTCCAGCTTCCTGTATTTGCATCACAGTTGGTGTTCTTTGGAAGAATGTTGTAAAGACTGAAAATGCCAAAGTATAAGTTGCACTTGTTTTATTGTACAGCTGCAAGTTACGATAGTGGTAATGGTAGTGTTCAAATTTGTAGTGTAAGTATATTGACTATCATTTCAAGTAGAATAAGTAATTCGTATCGTGGTAGTGATAGCAGAGGGACGTACATGTACCATTTGTTGTTCCAGTGCAGGGATGTACAACTATTCCACTTCTACAACATCTATCCGTTTTAGTCAACCCGGTATTTAGATCCTATCCACCCGCATTCACTAAATTGACAAAGAAATGTTATGTATAATAACTTGAAAATGAAGTTAAATGCATCTCTCTAATGCTGTGTAACTGATAGCTTTGCTGTACAGTATATAGATTAAAGACCATTGCACTGGGAAGTCTGAATCTATGGCACCTGTTATACATCCCTGTTTATACCAAAGAGAAGTGGCGATAACTGTGTACAATCACAGATCTGGAACAGTGACACAAGTAGTTTATATTTAGATTTGGTGATTTAGTAGTTTATGATAAGTAATCTACTTTTGTGTGTGTGTAGAGTACAGCAGACTCCTTCTTCAACTTCTAAGAGAATGACATCTCAGTGATGAAGAAGTGCAACTATACACATATGAACACACACACACACACACACACACACAAATTGTAAGTGGTTGTTGTGATAAATTAGTATCCATGTGATGCACAACACGTACATTTTGTATGCTGTATTTATGTATCCATCTTTACCGTCTTTATATATATATATATATATATATATATATATATATATATATATATATATATATATATATATGTACATATGTATATATGTGTATATATATATATATATATATATATATATATATATATATATATATATATATATATATATTCATATATATGTGTGTGTGTGTGTGTGTGTGTGTGTGTGTGTGTGTGTGTATGTGTGTGTGTGTGTGTGTGTACATACATATACATATATGTATGTCTGTATGTATGCATGTGTGTGTGTTGTGTGTGTGTGTGTGTGTGTGTGTGTGTGTGTGTGTGTGTGTGTGTGTGTGTGTGTGTGTTTGTACGTGTGTGTGTTGTACGTGTGTGTGTGTGTGTGTGTGTATGTGTGTATGTGTGTGTGTTTGTGTGTTCGTAAGTGTACGCGTGTGTGTGTGTGTGTGTGTGTGTGTGTGTGTGTGTGTGTGTGTGTGTGTGTGGTGTGTGTGTGTGTCTGCGTGTGCAAAATTATTTACATATAAATTGTGTTTTTACAAGAAGAGTTTGAATGTTATATGTATATATATATATATATATATATATATATATATATATATATATATATATATATGTATATATATATATATATATATATATATATATATATACATATATATACATATATATATAAAATTTCCTACGTATACATTGTGTTTTTCCAAGAATGGTTTGAAAGTTATAGTTGTTTATATATAGGCATATATATATATATATATATATATATATATATATATATATATATATATATATATATATATATATATATATATATATATGTATATATGCACACACTATAAGACAAAAGTTATTTACGTATACATTGTGTTTTTCCAAGAAGAGTTTGATTGTTATAGTTGTAATATTGTTTGAATTATTCGTTTTCATAGTTAACATTGTTTTCATGAACCCTGCCTTTGCAGAATATAACCTTATATTTATTACCCTATGTTATATTTGAAAATTTGAAATACATTTGTTCGTTTATTCAAGTAATATATAAAATCATAAATTATATTGTCAAGGCTTATTAACCAAACTTCTTTCCATATGAAATTCAAGGCCTTCATATATCACAGCCAAATAGAATATAAATTTATGTATTCCCCCTCAAAGAGAGTAATGCGGATAATATATGAATAAAAAAAAATATATATCACAGCAACTTACGCAAAACCATCACCATATAACGAGACATCTCCTTGTTGCAGGTCGTGACTATTGCAACTTACTCTTTCTTTCTCGCTGCAATCGTAGGGCGGCAATATGTGGAAGAATCTCCCATCTCGTACAGGTCTAACCAACTCGACCTGTATATCCCCTTATTCACAATACTGCAGGTCTTTTTCTACATGGGTTTACTGAAGGTATTGTATAGAGTTTGTTTCGTTTGCGAAATGCCCTGCTTTTCTCTCTTTGCCTGAAGCTAGACATGACACAGTACGAGTAAAGTTGTATTCCTATTTTACTGCATTTCACTATGTGAGTATGGTTATAACATGTACACACATACAGTACATACAAAACGAAAATGCATATATATACATATATGCATGTATATGTTATGTGTATATATATATATATATATATATATATATATATATATATATATATATATATATATGTGTGTGTATATATATATATATATATATATATATATATATATATATATATATATATATATATATATATATATATATATATATATATATATATATATATATATATATATATATATGTATGTATATATAATATATATATATATATATATATATATATATATATATATATATAGGTATATATATGTATGTGTACATACACACACACACACACACACACACACACACACACACACACACACACACACACACACACACACACACCACACACACACACACACACACACACACACACACATATATGTGTACATATATATACACATACACAGTATTTCCATATACATATACACATTTATATATACATAAACATACACAACAAACTCAAATATGGAATAAAGAGCCTGAGGCCTTACTTGTCTTGGCCAACAGGTCGCCGAGCAACTTATAAACCCTTTCGGTGACGACGATGAAGATTTCGAACTGAACTGGATCATTGACAGACACATGAAGGTAAGGTGGACAAGAATAGTAGATATATTCACACAAAAAAATATCTGTTCAAGAGTAGCATATATGAAGCTAACGACGATGACGGATTATCTAAAGAAATATTGCAGTGAAGTACAATATGAACTCTAAAGGCAAACTAAAATATAAGGGCTAGGGAACATGAAGAAGATTCATCGCACTAAGCGGCTCTCCTTCAACATTTCTTCTTTCCTTCATTTTTATTTCCTGTAGGTGTCTTATCTAATCGTGGATACGCTGCTGCTCAGGACGCCGCCCCTTAGCAAAGACATCTTCTATGACGACGAGTGTCCCGTCCTGCCCTACACTGCGGCTTCGGCGGAGTTCAAAAAGAGGACCTATAGGGGATCTGTGGCCAACATGGTGTAAGTCGTTCAGTTCCGTGGCGGTGTTTAGAGCTATGACATTTGTTCTTGTAGTTTCCCTCTAGAGAAGGTTATCTTTTGCATAAAGCGATGTTACGAATGGCACACTTCCTGTGTTCACTAGCATTTAGTATCCAGAGGTTCGGATCCTTTTTTGCACTGCATATCATATTAGGCCTTACAGAGAACTGACTCTTTGCTTATCACTGTCATCACTAGTCACTTAATCTTACCAAAGTTACGGTCAAAAGTTAATTTCCCTGACTGAAGCTTCGAAACACCTTATCACTGGTTCACTATCTGAATGCAGAGATTGGTCCTAGAAGAAACTGGACTTCATCTTTGACTGTGACTTTGCGTCGTAAAACTTGTTTCCCTTTGAATTAACTTCTTACTCAGTATCCTTTTCCTCTCATGTGCTTTGCCTTATCCTGGCTTTGTCCTTGATTTTCACCTTACCTGCCCCATTCTCTCCTCACTCGCCATCTCCTCTATTCATCGGTCCGAAATCTTTCATCCTGTCAGAATCCCCGAAGAGAAGCAGAACCTGATCCTCCCTGATATCCAGGAGGAGCTTGAGGAAGGGGGGGAGTTCCGCAGCACAAGCAACCTCGCATCTCAAATGGCTTCAATGAAATCTTCTGTCAACAACCTAGGAGGTGAGTCTGGCTCTCTAGCTTCTAGCACGACAGAAAGATGATGTTCTGTCTATTTTTCTTTATTCTATCTTTGACTTGGCCCTCGTGATGATGGGCTTGTGGATAAAAGAATATTACTGCAGTCCAAGTGATTTTGGGTTCATTTTTGAGCCACTGGGAAACCGGTTGATATTCTCCCATCCTTATCATTTGCGTTTCCTTTCTCCTTGGGAGAAATTACGCCTCAAGATGGATTTGCCTCCAGTAGTGATACCAGTGTGAATAACCTGTGACATACATACACAGTAGAACTGGCCCAATTTTGGTGGATATTATACTTTGCCTCTGACAACAGGAGTACACAGTTAAGAATAGATCATAATTCTTGAGTTTTGAGATCCATTTAGGTCTAACATGAGCAGCATATATCTATGGTACTGATATATAAGTCACATTTTCATCAACATTCATGTGCAGCTGAGTTGCTTATGTTCGATCTGTTTGGACAAGTAGATCTAACAGACTAATTCAGGCCTTTTCGTATTCCCTCCCAACTCCCTTCCCCACTCTTCTTTATATCCATGCAATGTAGACTACTTACTCAACTAAATGTTTTCTAGAAAAGTTATGTACATGCTTGGTTAAGTGTACAGTATCTGTATGTACGTGTGCATATGTGCTTGTATCATGACACGTGTGTGTGTGCTTGTGTATGTTTGTGTGCTTATTTGTATGTATGTGTATATATGTGTATATGCGTATGTGTGTTAATGGATGCTTTTCGGGATAAATGGATCTGACACAACTTTACCTCCTCCTCGTCCTCCTCTACTTTTGCCCCAACACCTATTCTCTGCATGTGTGTTGTCCTGCAGGTCTTGGCGGGGTTACGGGCAAGGTGATTAAGGTCGAGGGTGGGGGCACCAACAGTGGCAGCAGCACTAGTCCAAGTTCTAAGGGCAGAAAGGGCAGGCCCCCCCTTCGACGCACCCTAAGCAGCCCCGGTTATCTGTCAGGTAGCCGGATTCTCCTCGTTAATGTTGCTACCTCTTTCACCCCGGCTTCTGTTGAGGGACCTTGTGAACCTTGTCCTTAAACTTGCTTATTTTTTAATCATATTTTTAATATTAGTATAGAGATGGCTGAATGACGCACTAAAGCATTATTGGTCCTGTTAATCACAGTTCCTGGATTTCCTGATTTTTTGCAGGTTAAAAAAAAACGCACATAGTCTGGATTTAGACACCGTTTCAGCAGCCTGCTATCGCTGGTGATCATGCAACTGCTCGTGTTTTCCAATTAACTGTTCTTTACTCCTTGTTCTCTTTCATTCTTTTTTTTATTTATCATTCACGAATGTTTGCGACTAATACTCACGTGTTGTGGAAAAGGTCTTTGCAGCCATATGAGGGATCGTCGATGCCGGCACGATTGGGATGAACCTTTTGTTGAACTGTGGTTGACCAGTTTCCTTTTTTGAGTCATTTAATATTAGTTTAGTATAACCTGTTGCTATGCATGTTTCATGTGATTACAGTATAGTTTAAATTGAGAAATAACATTTTTTTCTTCTTTATTATGATCACATTTCACAGTTCATTTAGATGTGTTTATTATGAGAAAGTATTGAATCGTATCTCATAAAAGTATTTTCACAACTGCTTTCTTAGTGACATTTTACATTGGAGACACTTGATGAAATTCATACACAGAATTTTGGATTTATTACTCTATGGTAAAATCGACATATAGGAAATCTAAAGAAAATTACACTTTGCCATCTCATACCCATTCATACACTTTATTTTTACCTATTTATTTCGTTATTTTTTAATTATTTTCACTAACTCACCATATATCAAGCCTGCAGATCCAGTTTTGAATTTATTTGTTAACATATAACAGTTTACATGAACAAGAGAAAACATGTAAGAATAGTACCGGCTATATAACTATCTAATTCGTCTCTGTAATGTTCCTTACTATCAGCTCCTGCTGTTGACGTCACTTTGTCTTTATTGCTAGGTAAATCAAGTCCCTTGCCCCTGGATCTATAACCACTGCTCCATTTTTCAGGTTAATTACTCAAAGATCCAAATTAAACAATAACAGGACGTCACCTACATAGAGTTTCCAATCAACAATCACAAGCCAAACAAACATAGATTTCAATGCAAGAGATACTGGTGGCTGTTACATTTGAATTTGCCACCACTAAA